TGGCAAGTTTGGTCCCAAATCCCAGACCTGCATGTACCTGGGGCCCAACTCCGACTCCCCCAACTACTTCTTCCTCAACCCCATCACCAGACAGCTGATTCGCAGCCGTGATGTCGTCCTCGATGAGACACGCCCCTTCCACTCTGCGACCACGGGCCAGCCTCCTCCACCTCCCCCGACGCTTGTTTGGGCAGACTTCGATGCCCCACCTCCGGCCGCTGCCCCTTCTTCGGGGCCTTCTCCGTCCGTCGTGACTCACCCAGCCTCCCTGGTATCCTCTACAGCGGCACCTCATCCTACTCCGCCTTCCCCACGCGTCGAGCTCGGCTCACCAGTCTCCTTCCGGAAGCGCCCAGTCTCTCCGGTCTCACTGCAGCCGCCTTCGTCTCCATTCTCTAGTCGCACTCGTTCCAAGGGATCGGCTCTGCCTCTCGCCTGGGGACCAGCCGCCTCCTCCATCCGGTGTTCGGTCACCCCGCCTCCTCCTGCCGGGGGTGATGTCCCTTCCATCCATGTTCCCCCTCGTGCACTTCTGAAGGACAGGCATGAGGAGCTGTTTGACCTTCATGCGGTCTGCCAATTTCTCTCTCACATCTTCCCGGACAATACTGACTGGCCGTCCCTCAACTTAACTGAGAACCCGACCATTCCGACTCCTCGCACAAAAGAGGAAGCTCTCTCGGGGCCTTATAATAAGGAGTGGAAGGCAGCAATGGATGTGGAGGACGAGGCGTTCATTCGCAACAACAACTTTGACGATGTCGTTCCCTCTTCCGGTGTTAACATCGTCGGCGGAAAATGGATCTTCCGAGTCAAACAACTCCCAGGCAAAGCTCCACTGTTCAAGGCACGATACTTGGCAAAGGGTTTCACCCAGAAGGAGTATCTCGACTGCTTCGAAACATTCTCGCCCATGGCCAATCTCCCGATCGTGCGCGCTCTTCTTGATATAGCCGCTCGCGGCAACTTCAAGATCAAGTCCATGGACGCCTCCTCCGCCTTTCTCCAAGGCCAGCTCAAGGAGGATGTTCACATGGAATGCCCATGGGGGTTTCCTTGCACTTATCCTGCCAACACAGTGTGGAAGCTAAAGCGCCCAGTGTATGGCCTCAAGCAGGCTCCTCATGAGTGGCACAACAAGGTGAAGGAAGTCCTCCTCGCACTTGACTTCCATCCCTCTGCCTCAGATTCCAGTCTCTTCGTTCGTCACTCCTCCGAGCCCTTCTACATCCTCGTCTATGTCGACGACTTCATTCTAGCCGCCAGAGATCCAGCGGACATGGCAGCTGTCCAGTCTGCTCTCAGCTCCGCCCTTCTCATGAAGGATCTTGGTGACCTCAAGAACTACCTGGGGATGGAGATTTCTCATGACCGCCAGGCTTGCACGATCACGCTCTCCCAAGAGTTCTACATCGACAACCTTCTGAAGCGGTTCGACATGGAATCCAGTAACTCTATCTCGACTCCTCTCCCACTACAGCATCAGCTCACGGCCCCTCCAGTTCCGTCTCCTGACACCTGCAAGGACCCGTACCCTGAGCTAATCGGTTCACTCATGTATGCCATGATGTGCACTCGACCAGACTTGGCTTACCCGGTTAGTGTCCTCTCTCGGTACGTCTCCCCCGGACGCTACACTGCCTCGCATTGGTCTGCAGCCAAGAGGGTCCTCCGCTATCGACAAGCCACCAAGTCTCACGTCCTCACTCTCGGTGGTATCTCTCTAGTCAAGCTTGAGGGATACACAGACTCCTCATGGGCCGATGACCAGACTGATAGACACTCCTCCCTAGGGTAGTGCTTCACTCTTGGTAGCGGAGTCATCAGCTCGCATTCCACTCGGTTTTCTGCAGTCTCCCTTTCGTCCTGCGAGGCCGAGCTCTACGTAGGCACAATGGCTGCTCAAGAGACACGCTGGCTCTCCTTTCTCCTCGCTGAGTTAGGCTACCCCCAGCAGTCGCCCACCCTATGGTGTGACAACCAGAGCGCCATTCACCTCACCAAGGATCCTGTGTTCCACTCTCACACCAAGCACATTGAACTTCGTCATTTCTTCATGCGAGATCTTGTTCAGAGTGACCAGCTGACGGTACAGTACATCGCCTCAGATTGCAACCTCGCCGACCTCTTTACCGAGGCTCTTGGCAAGGTTGACCACCATCGCCTCCTTTGTTCCATGAGGCTATGTACCCCTTGACCGGGTTTTGTAGTCTATGGGGGTGTGTTAGAAATAGATTGCGAATCCCACTTTTGTATTTGTACTTTTATATCCTAGTTTAGGTTAGGAATGTTCTAGTGGGTTGGGGTGTACTCACAAAATCCCAACCTCACCCAATTGTGATCCCCCCAATCTCCAATTACCCAATTGGAGATTCCGGAGATCCCATTAGGGATTCCCTCCGATTTTCCCTTCATCCATTCTCCCTTACCTTGCCATGTACTTATAGAGCCTTGGGCTCCTTACCTAATCAATCATTTCAGCTCCATTCTTATAGCAACAGCAGCAGCACCAGCTCAAGGAGCAACAGACGCAGCAACTGAAGGAGCAGCAGGAGTAGCTACAGTCATCCCCATCCTCCCCACCTCTTTAAGCTGCCACGGGTCCATCCGCCGCTGCTCCCTCCTTGCCACCGCGGGTCCACTCGCCGTTGCCTTCCTCCCACTCCGTGCCACCAATGGCGTCCCTTCCCTCTCTTGTCGACGTCTCCACCCTCGATCATCTCGTGCGCGCTGCTGACAACTCAGCAACCAACTGGTTTTCCTTCGTCGGCAGCCTCTACCGAGTTCTGGGCAGAGCATATGTCCTGCGGTTCCGCCTCCTGGACATCATGCGTGGTCTCCCAGAGGGTAACCTTGGGGACCCGCCTCCTCACCCTGGTGATCACCCATCTCTCATTCCCCATCCCAGCGAGGAACCTCTGCCCCCCGTGATACCCTTTGGCACTAGCAGTCGTGCTGTCACCGCTAAATCTGAGCAGCTCTTCGTTACTCAGCCTCGTGAGTTCCTCGTGCTCCAAACTGATTACCTGATCACTTTGGAGGAACACGAGTGATCGGTCACCCTCTGCACCCAGCATGCCGCTACCGCCACCGCTTATGCCGCTGACTCTGAGCGATTTGTTGAGCGTCGTTGCGCTTGGCTCGAGACAGACAGCCATGCTACTGGTGCCCTTCTCCTTGCCATCCCGTTTGAGCTCATGCACAATTTCCAGGCACGTCGCATCGGCTCCTGCCAGATCTGGTTCGAGCGTGAGGCGATGTTCGAACGCACCGACTTCGACGCTGTCGGACCGCTCTTCAAGGAATACTGCAGCATCACAATCAAAAACAGTGCTGGCACCATTGACTACACCAGCCATCTCCTGGACCTTGCCTCCCGCCAAATTCTCGACAGACTACTCTCCGCTCCAACCTCCACATCTACCGTCTCCTCGAAGGCCTCTCCCCTCAGTATGAAGTGCGCGTCATCGCCTTCACTGAGGCTCAGCCCCGTGCCTCCCTCGGCACTGTGGTCCGGTGGATAATTGACGCTGAGGGCTGCCTCCTCTCAACCCCCCCCTCCGGTCTGAACTCCCCTTAGTCCCAAAACCCCCAGCTTGCAGTCGCACAGCCGCGCCGTGGCGGGCACCCCCTGCTTGCTGGGATGGCTCTGAACGAAGGGGAGCAGATTCTAAGGCCAACAATCCGAGGGGGAGTTTGTTGGTGCAACCCTATGGCTTGCACTCGGCTTGTCGTCCTTGTTTGTGTGTATGCATGCATGGCATGGAATGAATTGTGAGTCTATGTCCTGGACCTCGGCTCTTGGGGTATGTAAAGGCTGGGAATCATCTCCATCTCAAATTCTTCTTCCTAAATTTTTTGTACTCCTAAGACTATAGTGGTTGCTGTACCTCCTGCCAGTCAAACCGCCATAGCGTCGTCAAATCTTCATGGAATTTTGTGATTCAACTTGCTGCTGATAGGCGACAGCAACACGCTGCAGATCCAATTAACACATCATAGTTTAAGGCATATATCAGATCGTTATCAATATTTGAAGCTGTCTCACGGAATTCTGACTGTGCACAATTTCTATCATTTTAGGCACATCTGAGCCTATTGTGACTATAACAAGTGGTATCAGAGCCCCTTGGAGCCTTCTCGACCATGCCTAGACCTGAGAAAGGGGGTGGCAGAGGTGCTGGAGGGAGAGAAGACGCCAAAGCACAAGGTCAACACCAAGATCCACCCGTTGCTCTGGTGCAACCTAGCCTTGGACCCTCTAGGGATGAGCCTAGAGTGTTTGGCCTTGACAAGTTCAACGGTGACAACTTTGCTGAGTTGTCCTTCAAGATGGAGAACATCTTTGACCACTATGATCTGCTGGAGGTGATGGAAGGAATGGAGAAGCGCCCCGAGAACGACCCGGAGAAGAGCCCGTGGGTGCAGAAGAGCGCACAAGGCTACCTTCTATTTGGGCAAGCGTTGGGGAGCAGCCAAATCCGTCACATCAAGCCTTTTCAGCGTGAACCAGCAAAGGGACCAAAGGCATGGGCTGTTCTCAAGGGTGTACACGCTCCTGCAACAGCGGCGGTGGCTGTGGTTTTGGAGCGGCAAATGGCGGCACTTCGAATTGACGAAGGCGAACCGGTGGAGGAAGGAGTGCAGAAATTCTTCGACTTGTTGACACGGCTCGAAGGAGCTGACCTGAACTACAATGACCTTCAAAAGAAGACCAAGCTGCTGGCCTTACTTCCGCACTCATGGTCCTCGCTCATCATCAATCAAAATCCAGATCTGCCCCGCCTCTCGCTCGAAGATGTGAAGCGGGAAATCTTGCAAGAAGATTCCCGCCGTCATGAATTGGCGGGTCCCGATGGTGCCGGAGTTGCAAGCATGGGCCGTGGGAATGGCCGTGGAAGGGGCAGAGGGCGAGGAGGAATATTTGGCAACAGTAACTTCAATGGAGGCCGTGGTAATGGAGGATATGGCAGCAACAACTGTTAGGATTAAGGACGGAGTCTAGGTGAACTTAGGAGCTAGAATTACTCAAAATATAAATCCGAAATTCTGGACAGAAAAGTCGTCTTCACAAGAAACGACGTCGACAAAAACCTAGCCGTTGGAATGTCGCGAAACTTGGATATGTTGTAGCTCTTAATCTCAGCTACCGTTCCCAATTTGAATCATGTTGATTGATGAAGTATTCGCGACGCTATGGCTTTCGACGCATTAGGGGGTAAGCTGTAGGAGGAGAACTTAACTCAATCTCAAAAGTTCAATCAAAGTTCAAGAATCTCACAAGGAATAAGAAGGAGCAAGAGAAAGGTTGGGATAGGAAGAGAGGGATGAGAGGGAAGGTCCCAAGAGAGTCCCCAACCAAGGAAACCCCATAAGCACAAAGATTCCCTCCCTATAGGAACCTCAACTTTGACCTTTGTCCCTTCCCAACCAATCCATCCAAGTTGGCCACCCTTGCCAACCTAGCTTGGTTGTTCCCAACCTATTTGCAGCTGTTACAGTAGAGTGACAAGTTTCCCCAACCCCAAAGGTCCCAACTCCATATAAAGTCACCCCACAACTTCACTTTGTAACCGCCGCAATTGTAACGCAAGCTCATGAACTTTGAATCTTCATAGCTTTCGCGTTCTTGCTCCGATTGAAGCGATTCTCGTTGCGTCGGAAAGATCTTCTCAAGATCTATCATCACAAATACCTGCTCAAACAAAAATAACACAGAAAACATTCCCAAACTCCAGCACACACCACACAAATGCTTGCACATTCAAACCACACATGCAAGTTGAAAACATGGGATGGGAGGCAGACAGAATGTGATAGCATATGATGACATCACACAACAATCTCCCCCTCTGGCTGCCAACCATCATCCACCATACCACATCTCAAGCATGCATACTCAATGCACACTCATCCCAGCAAGCTTCATGCCCTTCCAATGATCCGCCTCCGCCAGAAGCTTGGTGAAAATATCTGCTGCCTGCTGATGGGTCTTCACTATCTCCAGCCGCACCTCCTTATCAAGGAGTCTCCTCACCCAGTGCCACTTAGGCCTTATGTGTTTTGTCAGCCCATGCAGACAAGCATTCTTGGCGAGCTTCACAGCGGACTCATTGTCACAAAACACAACTGTCGGCTCCTCCTGACCAACTCCCAACTCCTCCAACAAACGCCTTAGCCACACTACTTCCTTGGCCTCATGGTGTAAGGCCATGTACTCAGTCTCACATGAGGAGAATCCCACCTCATTCTGCTTCTTGCTGCGCCAGCTCACAGCACCACCTCCTAGCAAGCACACATAACCCCCCAATGCTGGTGCCATCCGCTTTCACTGAGTTGAAGCTAGCGTCAGTATAGCAACTCAAGAGCATCTCACCACTCTTCACATCTGTAGCACCTCTCTGCAACCGCTGCCTCACTCCACTGTACTCCAATCCCACTGATGCCGTAGCACTCACATAGCGGACCAACCTCTTGGCCGCTTCCAGCTGCTCATGACTAGGACGTGAAACCACGCTAGCCAGTCGTGATGTAGCAAATGCAATGTCAGGCCGTGTATGATTTGCAGCATAATTCAGCGACCCAACCATCGAATGAAACAGCTTCCTGTCACTCTCACCCACTACCTCCTCATCAGCACATGGCTCCACAGTAAACCCCGAAGGTAGTGGTGTTGCTGGCTTTCCCCCATCTTGCAGCCCATACTTTTCAGCCAGCCCCTCACAGTACTTCCTCTGGTGCAACCTCAGCACACCCTTCTCCACATCTCTCTCCACATGCATCCCCAGGTAGTACTTCACCTCACCCATCTTGGAGCACTTGAACTGCATCTCCAGCATCTGCTCTGCGCTGTCCAGCAAAGCAGTTGATGCAGAAAAGAGAAGGATATCATCCACATACACCAAGAGCATGAGGATTTCATCCTTCTCCTGCAGCAGGAACAGGCTGGGGTCACACTCACTCTTCTTGAAACCCCCAGCCACCAGCGCCTCCTCCAACTTGTGATACCATGCACGAGGCGCCTGCTTAAGGCCATAGATGGCCTTCTTCAGCCTGCAGACCCTGCCGCTCCCATCATCCAGCCCCTCTGGCTGCTTCATGTACACCTCCTCCAGAATGATCCCATTCAGAAAGGCAGTCACAATGTCCATCTGCCGAATCTTCCATCCCAGGAGTGCAGCTATCGCCAACAGCACCCTCAATGTTGTTCCTTTCCCCACAGGAGCAAACACCTCATCATAGTCCTTCCCCTTTGTCTGCTGAAACCCCCGTGCCACAAGCCTAGACTTGTAGCGGGTCAGCTCCCCTTCAGGTCCATACTTGTGCCTGTAGATCATCTTGGAAGTGATTGCCTTCTTCCCAGGAGGCAAGTCACACAGGTCCCATGTCTCGTTCTCAATTAGGGACCCGAACTCCTCATCCTCACTCGCCTTCCACTTCTCCCCATTTGGTCCATTCAAAGCCTCCTCTCGAGTCTTGGGCTCAGGGATTGGTGCCCAGTAGCAGTGAGCGATCTCATCTTCCTCAATCTGCTCAACCACACTCCCAGCCTGCACCACATTCGGCTTGCCTCTTCCCCCATAGGTCAGCCTCACTGGAGGGCGCACATCCCTCCTAGGACGCTCAGGCGGGTGTGGAACTCGAGGTGGAGACTCATGCTGCTGCTGCTGCTCCACTTCAGCTGCTCCCCCTTCCTCAGTCTCCCCAGACATCTCCTCCTCTGACACTGCAACCTCCACCTGTCTTGAAGGCTGCTGCACCTCATCTGCCTCCACAATGAGCGGTGTAGATGGAAGCTTCTGTTGCTGCTGCTTCCATTCCTTGTAGTACAGGGACTCAAGAAACTTCACATCCCTTGACACTGTCAACTTCTGGGTGGTCAAGTCCCATAGCAGCCACCCCTTGTGATCCTTTGCAATCCCCAAGTGCACACCCCATCTTCCAGAAGCCTCCAACTTCCCCCTTTTCTCCTTAGGCACATGAAACACCACCATGCACCCAAATGCCCTCAGCATGTTCACAGCTGGAGCACTCCCATACCACTTGACATATGGGATCCACTCCTTATCTCCAACTGTAGCCAGCACCCTGTTCTTCACAAGGGCGACCTGCCTCAGTGCAGACACCCAAAACGGATCAGGCAGCCCTGCACGCCCAAGGAGAGTGCGTGCCCCCTCCTGCAGGGTCCTGTTGAACCTCTCAGCCACGCCATTCTGCTGTGGGTTGTAGGGCACTGTCAGTTGATGGTGGATCCCCTTCCTCTTCAACTCCCCCTCAAAATCAGCTCCAATGAACTCCCCACCATTGTCACTGCGGATCACCTTCACCTTGTATCCGCATTCCCTCTGAGCTCTAGGCATCCACTCCTTAAGGACAGCCGCTGCCACCTCCCCCTTGCTCTTCAAAGGGTAAACCCACACTGCCCGAGTGTGGTCATCCACAATTGTCAAGAAATAGCGGCTGCCTGAGAGGGAAGGGGCTCTTGTGGGCCCCACCACATCCATGTGCACAAGTGCAAGTGGGGTCTTGGCTGGTCCTGTAGTGCTGTTGAAGGGGAACTTGGAGAACTTGGTCTCCAAGCATGTAGGGCAGCTCCCAATCTCCTTCACTCCCCCTTTCACCTCCAAGCCCTTCAGGCTCCCATCCTTCACCAACTTCTGCAGCATAGGGAAGTTCACATGACACAGCCTCTCATGCCATGTCTCCCAATCGGCCTCTCCACTCCTTGATGAAGCCTTAGCCCATGCCGCACTCGCATCCACACCAGCAAGCACCTCACCATGTGTCTGCTGCTGCTGCACTTTCTTGACTGCTTCCAGGACCCCATCAGTTGGTGCAGTTGCATCTCCTCCTGCTGTTGCCTTTGCCGCTGCTGCCGTTGCTGCTGTTGGAGTCTTCCCATTCCATGGGATGATGGGCAGCTGCCACATGTCCTTGATGCAGCTGGTCTCCTCTTCCAGACTCCACAGCACCTTCTTCCCAAGCTTAGCACGGCAGCTGGTTCGTCCAAAGGTCACTTCGGCCTTGCTCTTCTGCAGTCGTCGCACAGAGAGAAGGTTAGCAGACAAGCCTTCAACCAGCAGAACATTCCCAAGCCCCACAAGCTCCCCATTAGCTCCCTTAACCTTGGCATTTCCAACACCAATGACAGGGAGCAAAGCACCTGACGCTGCTGCCACATACTTGATCTTCCCAGGGGGTTTTACCTCATCAAGCAAATCTGCCCGTGGGGTCATGTGACTGGTGCAACCCGAATCAATCACCCAGTGCGTGAGAGGGTGCATCACAACCTTTCCCACAGATCCCACATCACCCTCATGCCCATGCACATCCTCAACCATGAGAAACATCCCAGGATAGGCATTACCTTGTGCACCTTCACCTTGTGCACCTGAGCCTTGCACAGCGCCACCTTGTGCGCGTTCACCACTGGGCGGCTTCATGCTTGGAGGTGCCCATCCCTCCGGCCTGCTGAAGCACTTAAACCAAGGATGCCCGACCTTCTTGCAGTACCAGCAGGTGCCCTCCATTCTGGTACTCCCCTTGCCACTAGAGCTCCCATGCCCCTCATTATAGTCACCTCGGCCACTACCTCTGCCAAAGCTCCTCCCACGGCCTCGGCCTCTCCAACCCCCTCTTCCTCTGCCGCGCCCTGCAGCTCCATACCCCTCAGCAGTCTTAGTGGAAGCACCACCTCCCACATGGCGTCTGCGGAAGTCCTCCTGCAGAATCTGCTGCCTTAGCCACTCAGGTGTCCATTGATCTTGCTGAGAGTTGAGGGTGGGGATGAGGTTGTCCCACGAGTTATCCAACACCGAGATGATCTTGGTGCACTGCTGCAGCTGAGATACACTGCTGCCCGCTGCTGCCATCCTTGCATAGGTGTCCTTGATCTTGTCAAGGATCAGCTTCACATCATCCCCTGGTCGCATGGAGATTGCAGCAAGTTCCTTCTCGAGCACGATCACCATCGGAAGAGTGTTGGGCTGAATCACATCGCGTAGTAGTTTCCACGCCCTTGGACCCGAATCATCCGCTTCCACAAGATCCTTGATGTGCTCGAACATCTCATTGTTGACCGATTGAAGGATGAGGTCGAAAAGCACCGTGCTTTTCTCAATCCACCGTTCGCGTTCTTCGCCTTCTTCCGGCATCTTCTCCTCCCCAACAGCAATCTTCAGTAGCTTGTAGCGTTTGAAGGCACTCCTCATGCGCCCGCTCCATTCCTCATAGTTGGAGCCATCCAAAGCTTCAACTTTTGATGGTGGCGGCTCACTTGTCTTCTCAGGTACAGCTCCTCTTCCATTAGCATCTCCTCCTCTCTCATTCATCTCCTCCTTGAGAAATGACGAATTTCAGCTCCCCTTTGCTGTCCACACTCAGCTCCCTTGATATTTTCACAAGTATCGGCGTCCACGAAATTTCGGCAGAGTTTCCCCTTAGCGGAAGACACATCCAACCTTTAGAACACCACTTAGGCACGCCCACAGGCCATGGTGGGTCTAGAAGGGTCTTCACACTTCTGTAGACTCCTCTCAATGTCCTCAATATGGCTCTGATACCACTTGTTAGAATTAAGGACGGAGTCTAGGTGAACTTAGGAGCTAGAATTACTCAAAATATAAATCCGAAATTCTGGACAGAAAAGTCGTCTTCACAAGAAACGACGTCGACAAAAACCTAGCCGTTGGAATGTCGCGAAACTTGGATATGTTGTAGCTCTTAATCTCAGCTACCGTTCCCAATTTGAATCATGTTGATTGATGAAGTATTCGCGACGCTATGGCTTTCGACGCATTAGGGGGTAAGCTGTAGGAGGAGAACTTAACTCAATCTCAAAAGTTCAATCAAAGTTCAAGAATCTCACAAGGAATAAGAAGGAGCAAGAGAAAGGTTGGGATAGGAAGAGAGGGATGAGAGGGAAGGTCCCAAGAGAGTCCCCAACCAAGGAAACCCCATAAGCACAAAGATTCCCTCCCTATAGGAACCTCAACTTTGACCTTTGTCCCTTCCCAACCAATCCATCCAAGTTGGCCACCCTTGCCAACCTAGCTTGGTTGTTCCCAACCTATTTGCAGCTGTTACAGTAGAGTGACAAGTTTCCCCAACCCCAAAGGTCCCAACTCCATATAAAGTCACCCCACAACTTCACTTTGTAACCGCCGCAATTGTAACGCAAGCTCATGAACTTTGAATCTTCATAGCTTTCGCGTTCTTGCTCCGATTGAAGCGATTCTCGTTGCGTCGGAAAGATCTTCTCAAGATCTATCATCACAAATACCTGCTCAAACAAAAATAACACAGAAAACATTCCCAAACTCCAGCACACACCACACAAATGCTTGCACATTCAAACCACACATGCAAGTTGAAAACATGGGATGGGAGGCAGACAGAATGTGATAGCATATGATGACATCACACAACAACAACAACAACAATGGCTACGGGCGTGGGCGCGGTCGATTTGATGGCGAATGCCACTTTTGCCACAAGACCGGCCACATGTGGAGAGATTGCTTCAGATTGCCTGATGGATGGAACCCTTCTCAAGGCCAAGAGGGCAGTGGAGCAAGGGGAGGAGGAGGCAGAGGTCATGGAGGCTGTGGTGGTCGTGGAAGCGAAGCGGCAAGCATGAAAGGTGGAGACTACGAGACGGGCCCAAGTGAAGATCGATACCCGGGCCAATTCTTCTTTGTCTCCACACAAGCGACAGCTGCAGCAGGAGGTGTGGATGGCTTTGAGGAGCCAGCTACTGTGGGAAAGGTCACCCTTCACTCTCTGGACTTCTGGGTGATCGATAGCGGCGCCACCTACAGCATGACACCTCGTGCGGACTTGCTCACCGAACTCGAACCGTCGCCGGTCAAGCATGTTACATCGGCTTTGGGGCAGCGAGCAGAGGTGAAAGGCATGGGCAAGGCCATGTTCAAGGGTGCTGATGGGAAGATGGTGGGCCTCAAGAACGTGCTTTGGGTGCCCAACCTTGCAGCCAACCTGATCTCTGTTCGGCGTTTGCAAAAGGCCGGCATGGACACATCTTCCAAGGGCTCCAAAACCTATACCGCGAGGCTTGGTGAGCGGAAGCTTTGGGACCTTCATGAGGACAGGGACATCTACAATGAGATGTGGCAAATCCCAGTGGTCCCCATGCCTAAGGGGAGGCAAGTGGCAGCAAGCGTCAGCACCAAGAGTGAAGCGGTTGGTGGCGGTGATCACGGAAAACAAAGTGACACCAAGAGTGACTCGAAGGAGTGCAACCTTGGAGAGACCAGCAAGGCGTGTGAACCCAAGGAGAGTGGTGCAGTAGCCAAAGGTGGTGGAAATGAGGAGGATAATCCTAAGATCAGCAAAGCAGCAGCGGCAAAGGAGAAAGGAGAGAGCTTGTGGGGCACGATTGCGAGTGCCGCTTTCTCCAACCCGACTTCCGCTACGGGAGAGTGTGATTGGCTGACCTTGCATTGGCAAATGGGGCATGTGGCATTGCCCATTTTGCAGCAGATAGTTAAGCAAGAGATGGTCAGTGGGATACGTGTCAAGGGGGAGCCCAATGAGGTGCTTGGCTGTCCAACATGCATGCAAGCCAAGTTCACCCGCTACCCGTTCCATAGCTCGGAGACAATGGCGAAGGCACCACTTGATGAGGTGGTGATGGATGTGGTGGGCCCCTTGAAGCTTGGAGCTGCTGGAGCTGAGTACTTCCTCACCATTGTGAACGTCTACACTCGCATGATTTGGGTGTATGTGCTGCCGAAGAAGAGTGACGTAGCTGAAACGGTGAAGACCGATTGGTTGCCGATGGTGGAGCGGCAACAAGACCGGCTTGTGAAGGCAATTCGCACTGACCGTGGGGGAGAGTTCCTGAGCAAGGACTTCTCAACTTGGCTGAAGAAGCAGGGCATAAGGCAGTCTCTCACCATGCCCTACTCTCCTGCAATGAACGGCATCGCCGAGCGTGCGAATCGGACACTCTCGGAGACGGCTCGGGGACTTCTCATTGAAGCCGATCTACCCAATTACTTTTGGCCGGATGCGGTGCGGCATGCTTGTGTGGCCAAGAACAGAGCCTTGGCTCACGTGGGAGAAGACAAATGGGTGCCCTATGTGGAGTGGATTGGAAGGAAGCCGAAGGTGGATATGCTTCGGGTGTTTGGGTGCATATGCCGAATTGTGAGTCTATGTCCTGGACCTCGGCTCTTGGGGTATGTAGAGGCTGGGAATCATCTCCATCTCAAATTCTTCTTCCTAAGTTTTTTGTAGTCCTAAGACTATAGTGGTTGCTGTACCTCCTGCCAGTCAAACCGCCATAGCGTCGTCAAATCTTCATGGAATTTCATGATTCAACTTGCTGCTGATAGGCGACAGCAACACGCTCCAGATCTAATTTACAGATCATAGTTTAAGGCACATATCAGATCGTTATCAATATTTGAAGTTGTCTGACGGAATTCTGACTGTGCACAATTTCTCTCATTTTAGGCACATCTGAGCCTATTGTGACTATAACATAATTGACGCTGAGGGCCGCCTCCTCTCAACCCCCCCCTCTGGTCTGATTTCCTCTTAGTCCCCAAACCCCCAGCTTGCAGTCGCACAGCCGCGCCTTGGCGGGCGCCCACGTGGCGGCTGCACCAACCCTCAAGGATGGGATGGAGGTGGCGGTTGTGGGGGCAACGGAGCCGGCAGCGGTGGTGGCAGATTCGAGGGTGGCAGCATTGGTGGTGGTGGAGGCAGTGGTGGCTCATCTGGTAGCTGTGGTGACCGCCCTGACACTCTCCCCCCATGTTCCTACCTTCGCCGTTTTGGTCCCAAGGCGGGTGAGCGCTGCACCCAAACCAACCACCCCCCAACGACCTGCTTCAAGGCGTATGATGACGCCAGGTTCGAGCACGTCAACACTAGCACATCCCCACGCTCCCCATAACTCCCAAGGAGCAGCAGCAGTTTTGCCGCTTCCTGCAGCTGCAGCTACAGCAGCAGTGGGGCTCTGGTGGTCAGGCTGCTGTCGCAGCTGCAGGAGCCGCAGCCGCAGGAGCCGCAGCCGCAGCAGCCGCATGGCAGCAGCAGCAGCTTGGCTTTGGCACTGCCGCCATGGCTGCCACAGCCACAACAGGTCCTCCTGGCTTTCCCCTCTTGGGCTCTCCTTCCCCTAGTGCTCCCGCCTCCCACTCCACCTTTCTAAGGGAGCTCATGCGCTCTTCCCCTGCTTCCACTTCCATGTCTCCCTCTGCTTTTAATGCCAGTGATTTCCAGTACACCGTGTCTTCAACTCCCTCCTTGCTCACGGTTGACTTTGTTCTCGATAGTGGTGCCACTGAAACTGCCCTAAAAGATGCCACCAACGTTCAAGGTGTTTATTCCAGGTTTTCCGTCCCTTGCACTCATCTCTCCACCCTCCCCTGCCCCCCCTTCCCTTCCGGAGTGGTCACAGGTCTCCGCATTCCCTCCCCTCGTCATAACCTGGTCTCCATGCGTGAACTCCAACAGGCTGGCATCACTACCATCTTCCCTGCCTCTGCCACCGACTGCGATCTACTACATGGCCCCACTGTCCGCCTCCTTCATCGCCTCCCACTTTGCCCTCGCTCTCGTCAGTACATCCTCAGCAAATCCCGCCCCTCCTCATGCCACGTGACCACTCGTGCAAGCACCTCCACTCTCCCCCATCCCCTCCCTCTAGAGCCACCTTCCTCCAACTCCACCTCCTCCCCATGCTCTTGTAGCGCACTGTCTCACCCCGCTGTTCTCATCCACCATCGCCTTGGTCACATGAGCTTTCCCACACTTTGTAAAGTCGTCTCCTCCCGCTTGCTTGACGGTCTTTCCCCCACTCTTCCTCCCCTCCCGTCCTCTTCTGCTCCCTCATACGCTGCATGCATTAATGGAAAGCTCAAACAACAGCCTCACCTAAGTCATCCTTCCTTTGCTGCTGCCCCCCTTGACCTCGTCCACATGGACCTCTGGGGCCCTTCCGCTTCCCCTTCTAGCCAAGGGCACTAGTACATGCTTGTCCTAGTCGACGACCACAGCAGGTACTCATTGGTGTTCCTTCTCCACACAAAGGCCGAGGCCCCTGCTGTTATCATTACCAGGGCCAAGCAGTACTGTGTCCACTTTGGTCGCCCCATCTGCCGCCTCCATTCCGACAGCGGTGGTGAGTTTCTCAACCGCACCCTCTCCTCCTACTGCTCAACCCATGGCATCCAGCAGACTCATACCCTTCCCCACTCCCCTCAGCAGAACGGTATTGCTGAGAGGTGCATTCATGAGATCACCAAGACGGCCCACTGTCTCCTCACTCATGCCTCCACGCCCCCTTCTCTTTGAGGCCATGCCCTTGTCCATGCTCATCTACTCACCATTCTTTACCCACATCCTCAACGCCAATCCGTCACTCCCACAGAGCTCTGGGCCAACACCAAGCCAGATGCTGCCATTCTCCGTATCTTGGGTTGCAAGTCATATATGTCCTCATCCCCCCACCCAACCGCTCTAGGCAGGCAGGAAAGCTCACCTCCAAGACCATTGAGTGTGTCTACCTTGGCCACGCTCGCTCTTCCCCTGGTTACCTCTTCCTTCACCTGTCCTCAGGCCGCTTCCTACAGAGCGGTGATGTGGTGTTCGATGAGAGCATCCCGTTCTATCATTCTGTTCCACCTTCCGACCCACTTCCTCCTCACTCCTGCCCCCTCATCTGGGCTGATGCTGTCATTCCCCCACTCCTTCCCCAGGCTCCCCCCCTTCCTCTTGATCCTGCTCCTCCCCCTCTTCCTTCCTCAGGTGACATTTACGACCTAGCTGTCCCTGACTCCCCTGCTTACTCTGCCTCATCGCACCAGCACCACCAGCAGCAGCAGCAGCAGCAGCAGCAGGAGGTGCAGCAGCAGCAGTGGATGGAGCAGCAGTATCAGCAGCAATGGATGGAGCAGCAGTAGCAGCAGCGGTGGATGGAGCAGCAGTAGCAGCAGCAGCAGCACCCACAGGCAGTGCAGCAACAGCAGCAGCCGCAGGCAGTGCAGCAACAGCAACCGCAGTAGGAAATGCAGCAGCAGCAACAGCTAGAGGAGGAGCACCACCAGCAGCAACGGCAGCAGAAGCAGCAGCAGCCGTAGCAGCAACCTCATCGGCATCGCCGCACCACCTCTCCATTCATCCTCCCACGCATCTACACTCGCTCTCATGACCCACTCAAAGGCCATCCATGGGGTTGGCCAGCGCCACACCCACCCTCCCGTCCCTTCATTTAGGACTCCCATGAGGAGCTCATTGGCGTTCAGTAACAAACACCTTCCCTCACGCCTCTCTAACCGGGCTTCCTTGGCCTACTCATCCTTGGCATCGCTACCGCTCCCACCATATTCACCCCGTCCAACTTCCTTGAGGCCATCATTTGCCTGGATGCTGCCAAGTGGATCTAGGCTATCTTTGCTGAATGCGAGGCCTTCATTCGCAATGCCTCATTCGTTGACGTTGTCCCCTCTCCTGACGACGCCATTGTCAAAGGTCTGTGGGTGTTCCGAGTGAAGCAGCTGCCGGGTGAGGAGCTAGTCTATAAGGCTCAGTATTGTGCAAAAGGCTTCACCCAGACCCATGGCATCGACTACTGGGAGACATTCTCTCCCACTGCCAAGCTCCCAACTCTCCGTACCATCCTCGACAATGCTATTCGCATTAGCATGGAGATTGCCTCCATGGATATCTCCAATGCCTTCCTGCAAGGCGAGCTCCAGGAGTAGGTCCTCTTGCGACGGCCTCAAGGCTTTCATGCAGCCTTCCCTCCCAACACAATCTGGGAGCTACGCCGCCCGGTTTATGGCCTCAAGCAGTCTCCTCGCGGGTGGCACAACAAGCTGGCCACCACTCTGCAGTCCCTGGGGTTCCACGTGTCTCAGTCTAATGCCAGCATTTTCCTTCGCTCCTCTCCCACCCGCTTCTTCATACTAGTGTATATCAACGACATGATCCTGTTCGCTGACGATGCTGCCGCCATGTAGCAAGTGAAGAACGCCCTGCATGCGTGCCTCAAGTGCAAGGACCTGGGTGAGCTCATGCACTATTTGGGCATGACCATTAGCTGGGACCACGCAACACGCACCATTACCCACTCACAATCTTTTTACATTGACTAGGTCTTGCAACGGTTCGACACGGCGCAGGCCACACCAGTTACCACTCCCCTGCAGACCAACCACCAGCTTGCCCCTCGTCCTGCTCCCTCCTCCTCTGACCATCCTTACGCTGAGCTCGTCGGTTCGCTGATGTACGCTATGATGTGCACCCCACCGGACCTTGCCTACCCCATCAGCGTTCTTGCTCCCTTCGTCGGTACCGGTCGCCACATTGATGAGCACTAGGTTGCAGCGAAGGGGGTACTCCGCTACCTCCGTGGTACCAAGAACTATGTCCTCACCCTTGGAGGCTATTCTCCTCCCCTCCTCTCTGGCTTCAGTGACTCCTCCTGGGCTGACTCCCAGCCGGATCACCAGCAAGGTCACTTGGT